CAGGCACTGTGTATGGGGTATCGCAGGCACCAACTATGGAGTACTGTGAGCACTGCACATACAGCACTGTGGGAATTCTGTACTGTGGAACAGAACAAAGTATTCCTGCTCAACACTCCACATGCTCTCAAGGCTTCACCCCAAGGCTGCCATGTACCCCACAACTATGCCTAAAAGAAAAAGTCAGACTGTTCTTTACACTGTCGTGTAAAACATCTGCCTAAGTCCTTCTGACTGAAAATTTAATTTCTTTAAAAATCCTTCCCACTGAAACAATGTAAATGTTCATCAACAGAGGAATGAATAAACAAGCTGTTGTACATATATAGTATTCAACTACAAAAAGAAATGAAGTCCTGAAACGTACATCCTACAATAGGCATGATCCTTGAAAACATGTTGGGTGAAATAAGTCAGCTGCAAAAGGACAAATATTTTATGATCCCACTTACATGAAAGACCTAGAACAGGGGCCACTAGAGAAATGTCATGAGGGGCTACAGGGGCACTGAGTTTCTAAAAACAAAAGCAAGTAACTCATCGCCATCAAGTCAGAATCAACTCAGAGCTCTGCCCCCAGCAGGTTTTCTCAGACTATCAGTTGCTAGTGGATTTGAACCACCTGCCTTTGGGCTGGCAGTCCGATTCCTGACACACTAGGCCACCAGAGCTCATTAAGAGTTTCTGATAAGGCTAAGGCAAAATGTGGAAATGGTGATGGTGATGGTTCCACAACACAATGAACATGTTTTATGTCTTTAAATTGTACCTGTGAAGAATTCTGAGATGGCAAATATTTTCTTATATACATATTTAGACAGTGGAAAATATGTGTAATACCCTAAGGTGTCTGGAAAGGACATGAGGGGAACATCTGGGTGCTGTTAGTGTCCTGTTTCTTAACATGGCCAATAGTTACAAAGGGCTGGTCATTTCTTAAATATTGATAAATATGTACACCTGGGATTTTTTCAACCATTTCTATACAGGCAGCCACTTCTGACATAGCTTGCCTCTGGAAACCCTATGAACTTGGAGAAACAATGAAAGTTATACAAGTGTTCAGGTGTTCCGTTCATAGGCTTTCTATGAGTCGTCTACGACTCAATGGCACTTAACAACATCATACAGGAATTCACATTAGCAAATGTTGTATTTTAAGAAAAAGTTGAAGAGTTACGCTTTTAGACTTCTAGGAATAAATGATGGATCCACACTGTTCATCGTAAGGAAATCTCAAGGTTCAAGGTTGCTCTGACACCTCTCATCAGGGTCGGGAAGTCATCCTTCATCTACTGTCGATTCTTGAAGAGGCACAGGCTTTGCGTAAACCATGGCAGCAGCCACACTCGCAACCTCTGTCAGCCAGAGTCACGGTTAACCAGCACGTGCTGGGTTAGCAAAGGTAATAAACTGCTCTTCAATTCAGCGACCCATCAAGTGTGACCCTCGCACCCTCCAGGGTAACTAGCAACTGTTTCCAATGGGTATTTATCCCAGAATCCAAATGAACCCTGAAATCTCTGCAAACTCACACCTCTACCACTGAGTGCAGCTTCAAAGCTGCCATCCTGTGCCCCAGAATACTGTGGGCAAAGGCCAGAGGGGAAAAGCCCCTGGTTCTCTGCTTCTGGGGAAGAAAACATCTGTTTACAGCCTTCTGCTGGTGGGAAGGGGTGTCCAACCATCCCCAAGAGGCCTTTGAGAAAATCTCCAGCTGGCTGGGGAAAGCACTCTGGAGACAGGATGAAGAACGGGATGTAGATAGACATGCCCATATCCATCACTTGATTTAACAATACAGAGAATCAGTTCACCGAGAGGCCAGGGACCTGACCATGAGTGTCCAGGGAGCACTTACTTCTGGCTCGCCGCGATCTTCCCCGACGTCTCCATCTCGAACATGGTCTGCAGCCGGCACTTGACGAGCTCAGTGGGGCACAGCACGAGGGCTGCGAAGGCAGAGGCGAAGGAGCCGGCAGCCGCGTTCTGCAGGTCACTAGGAGACACAAGCACAGGCGACAGTGGCCGCTGGGTCACTCCACCAGCACTCACCAGGCACAGGGCCCAGGGGGCTGGAAGGAGAGCTTCCCAGCGCCTGCACAACCCCGTCACACACTGCTTCAGGTACCACTGCCTGTGAACGTGACAGCAACGCTCCAACCCCCAGATGGGACAATGGAGCCGAGAGATGGCGTCCCTGCCCCCAGTCCCAGAGCAAATAGGAGGCAGTGCAGATTCAACCTCACGAGACTGCAATACTGGACTCTTCACATTAGATCAGTGACACAAACAAGCAACAACATAAAGGAGAGGGGAACACCCACTGTCTCACGGCTCAAAAACATGCACCATTAATTTGTCTCTCATCACTGCTGAGTTGGAACTGAACTCACAGCTCACTGGTTTCCAAAGCTGCAGATCACACAGGAGGAAACCTCTCTCAGAACTGCCGGTGGATTCAAACCATCAGAAAGGCGTGTCCTCTGGTAGCAGAAAGCCCCATGGGCTGCACCACTGGGGACCTTGCACTGTACCACTTTGGCATTTTGAAGGGTAGGGTCTTCATAGAGCAAGGAGTGGCCAGTTTATAGCAAGACAACTGGCTCCTGCTCACACTCACCCACTAATGCCGGCATGGCACTGGGATGACGCAGACCCCGAGTGGGACCACCCTTGGCCAGCAGCAGCCCTAGTGAACTAAAGCCTTGGTGAACCGAGAACTCACGCACCTCAAGTGACAGCGGTGTTAGACATGAGCACAGAAGCCAGGGCTGCTCCAGCCTCAGGAGTCCGCCTGCCTGGGGCCTCGCCTTTCAGGGGTG